GAACCAAACTGTTTGCGGGGCCATTAGGCCGAAGGCAAACAGTTTGGTTTGAGGGGTCGACAAAACACATTTTGCCAGAGAACACAGTCAATAAATGTTTTGTTATAGCTTTAATTTTTTTTTCTTGTGCAGGCTTCCATGATACCCGCACCCTTTCAATGAACATTTTCAACAGTAAAAAGTTGGGGGGAGGGATGGGGGGAGGGGGCTCGATACTATTACCTGCTCTCATCAAAGGAATAATTATTGATTTACACAAACAGGGATGGATCCAGAAATTTCAGTTGGGGGGTGGGTGAAGAATATCTCAAGAGGCAGGAGGTCTGGGGCCGCTCAAAGGCTCCATTAGGTCCAAGTCAAAGCCCTGGTGGAAGTTAGGGCGCGATACCCCCGCAAGCTCCTGAATATCAGAGAATTTAAGAGTAAAATGTAACCTTATAATTAGCTTCCATAGCAAATATTGTTATATATCGTTAATTTAAGCAGAAAAAAAAGAAATTACATATATAGAAAGATTTTCTAATTAGGAAGACTTTGTTGTACATATGATGACGATACGTATTAAAAATGCGCTGGTTAATAATGCTAGTTCCTTAAACGGCTAATCAAAATATTTTATACCAAAAGTAGGGATGTCAACGAATATTCGAACATTCAAATATTCATTCGATGAGTTGATATTCGAATATGAATTTAAGATACGAATATTCGGTATTTTTCAGATTTCATTTAAAGAAGTACTGCGATTAATAAATTTTGAATAGATATCCCCTTTTAATTTACAAGCGATCAATTTTGATCGCCTGATTTCTTTCACTTCTTCCTTATCGTATAGATCTACTAAATTATTTTGTTTTGAGTAAGGTGTTAATGAATTATACATTAATGCTTCATGTATAATACAAAACGTACTTTAATAGTTTTTTATTTGTTAAATACAATCGGATATAGAATCGAGGACAACAAAATGCAAACCTTCTTAGAATGTCTAAAAGACGCGAAGAGTATACTTATCTTAATGAATTTAATTGATCATTGAATGGATGTCCGATGGAAGTTGTCTGTAAATAAATTTTGGAAAGGGCTCAATTTCAGAATAAATGTGTAAATTACTTGATTATCACGGGTTGTACATAATCCTGAATTTTATTTTCATTTTCGGGAAAATAGTTAATTACCTAGGAAAATTATCTAAGGAAATGTTTGTTTATATTTTAAAAACATTGTATCAAAGGTTATGATCATATTTCTTATTAGGCCGATAATTGTAATTAATTGCACGTATTGAAATCTGAACAGTTATACGACTATCCTGCCTTTTGTAAGACGACTGGTTCCTCAGTTGGAGTTACTATAAAAACACACGCATGATTGTATAACTTGTTAAAATTGTACTTTTCTACATTTAAATCAATTATTTATTTCAAGTATTGACAAATATCAAAAGGAATTCCTTATTGTACACCTACAAAAGTCTTCATACAATTTTACTTCCAATATAAGAATACCTACGCTAAACCTTTCGTGAAAGTAGGATGATACATATTTAAACTAAACCAGATTTTATTTACTTTATCGAATATTCGAATATATTCGAATACTTTCATTGAATATTCGAATATGAATTATCGACAAAATTGACATCTCTAACCAAAAGTCTTTAAGACATATCACTTCTTTAAATTGCCTTTAGCTGTTTAGCTTCCCATGGTAATGTATTAAAGCTATATATGGCGTATCTGAGCTAAAAAATAAAAATACGAGACTGAGTGAAGATAAACATGATATATGTTATTTACGCTCAAATTTAAATTTTCACCGATTTTGAACTTGAATAACCTCACGTTTCTATGGTCAAATTGACCTTAAATTGTGTCTGTTATTTAAATGCGGAGTCGGTAAATAAATCGGTTATTGTTTTAAAAATCTTTGAAACGTGGTTGATTTAAATTGTGTAATTTACAGGAAAGTCCTATCTTTATATAAAGTAATAAAACAAATAGAAAGATTTTTTTTAATTTAGTTAGTCCGAACTTTAAAAAAATACTCCATATATGACTTATATGTCGAAGAAGTTGGAAGCAAATTCCCCCTCCTCCGGAGGAAATAGAATTTAAGTATTTGGGAAAGATGTTTAGGTCACCCGAGTCACTCAGGTGACCTCCTAGCATTGCTGTCTGTTTTCGTCCACCGTCGTAAGTTTTCCGTCGTGCGTTAACAATTGAACAATTTTAGCTTCTTCTCAGGAACCACTGAACCAATTTCAACCAATTTTGGCATATGGCATTTATGGGTGAAGGAGAACAAAAATTTTGAATGTTGTTGTCCCCGGCCCCTGAGGCTTGAGGGATGGGTCTAAAACTATAAAATGTATTGTAATCTATTAATATCTTCTTAATAACTCCTCTACATTAAGCAATTAAACGGTTGACATGATTGTTATAAGCATTGAGCCATCTACCAAAATTAAGAAATTCATTGCCCCTGGGTCAGGGACGTTGGAGTTTGGGTGGGCTCTAGTGTTCATATTCTAAAAAATGCATACAATCTTTAAAAATCTCCTTCCCTTACCCTGTATATTAAGAAGACAAACTAATTGTAAGATTACCATGAGCAAGGGTGCCTCTTCCGAAATTGTGAAATTTATGGCCCCTAGGTCAAGGGTTCTGGTGTTAAGGCGGGGCTCTATTGATCATATTGGGAAAATGCATTTATTCTTTGAAATTCGTCTTCTCTGCTCCTGGGTATTAAGCAAACAAACTTAAGTGCATGGTTATGATAAGCAAGAATGCCTTTTCAAAAATTGTGAAATTTAAGACCCCTGGGTCAGGGGTTCTGGTGGTAGAGCGGGGTCCTATTGATCATAGAGTAAAAATGCATTTATTCTTTGAAAATCTTCTTCTCTGTTCCTGGATATTTAGCAGATAAAATAAGTGCATGGTTGTGATAACCAAGGATGCTTCTTCCAAAACTGTGAAATTCATGGCCCCTGGGTCAGGGATTCTGGTATTATGGAGGAGCTCTATCGACTGTGTGTTGTACTGTTTGTGCGTCCGTACATGTGTGTCTTATTTAAGTATCTATATCTGATTATGTTTCTTAATGTGACTGTGTGCTGTACTGTTATAAGTAATTCTATGTTTATAGTGCTGCATGTTCATTGTTTTACTGTTATGCATATGCTAATAATGTCAGTCAAAAGCTCAAATCGCTTGTCTACCAAACTGACTTTAAATAAAGCTTATCTTATCTTGTCAGAAATTATGAACCGATTGATGATAGTACTGAAATATACCACCCCCCCCCCCCCCCCATTTTCCTTTGAAATTGAAATCCCAAGAATTATACTGAATTTAGAATTGATAGGTATTTTTTTTTGTATTATTCCAGTATTATCCCAGTTGTAATTCACACACTAGCTTGAGTATTATAAGTTTACCTGGTATTATAAGTTTCTTTTTTCTTTTAATTCTTTTAATAATTTTTTTTTTTTTTTTAGCTATCATTAACATAACTTTTGCGTTTTCAAAATAAATGTTGATTTTTTAGGGTAAAACAAGACGAGTATTTATAGCATGCAGAATTGAACTTGAGATATACGCAAAAGTCAACACATTTATAAATTAATGTTATAAGCCCGTCCAAAGAACCTACAAATCTGTGTCGGCAACTTGAGGTCCATTCCCCTACCCCTTCTCCGACTTCTACATAATTATATCAAAGTAGATCGAGTGCTCCTTTATATGATTTTCGTTTGACATTTATGCCACCTATTTAAACATATGTTAAGGATATCCGATCCCCAGCCAGGAAGGATAACTCTTTAATTTATAAATTTATTTCAAAAAGTCTCAAAATAAAGCTTGAAATTGAAATATTTTCATGCAACAATTTTCATTTTATGCGTCTCAGTGTGATTCAATATTCTTTGAAGATCTTAGAAACGGTCTTATAAAAAGTTGATATTGTACCCAATAAAAGTATTTTAAAAAAAGTACATATTTAAAGAAATCGAATTTCCTTTAATCTAGCTTTAGATACCAATATTTATTAGCATGATATGAAATTAGAAGTTATTTATGGTGTTTTGCAATAATAGGAAACGCTTTATACACTATGCATTAGAAAATGGTTGAAGTAAATAGAAGAAACTAGAGTACCGTATAAGTATAAAAATAATGCAATTTTCTCCAAATGCCTGGATACCTATAATTTTTCATCCTAAAATGTATTTGTTGATTAATTTTCAATTAGAAAATGCAAACCAGGTGTTTTTATTCGCATTTCATGAAAAATTATTGAAGATTTATGAATTTCCCCTATATAATATGATTAAAGATGAAAATTGAAGAATTACCGCGGATAACTACACATTACTTTGAGAATTCAGAGACATTTTTATAAGCATTTTCAATTCCTGATTTTCAGAACCTGAGGATCGGACTACCTTAAGTAAGTCTATATAGTCTATATTTATGCTTATTATGCATAAATAAAATGCAGTTTAAAAGAAATGGAGGTGAGTAATAAATATATAAGATAATAAATAAATATAGTAAATAATATATAACGAATTTATTCAATTTCTATAAATTTAGGAAGGACCCCCCTTTTTTTGTTAAAGAATTCAAAAATTAATATGGGACTCGCTATTTTTTAACACTAGAAAGTAAAGTATTAATAAATGCTATAAGATGATGAAGACCACATAGCTAAATGATTCAACCTTATTGATACAGTTGACATATTCTTCCATCTTATTTTGATCACATGACCACTATTTATTTATAAATATGCCCATTTTCACAGGGTGTTAAGGCCAACCCTTAGCTAAACGTAGGGCTTATAAATGCAAAACTGTAACTTATTATCTTCGTTTTTTTTATTTCAGTACATTTTAAAAATGTTTTTTTCGTGCCCAGAAAACAATATGATAATATTGATATATTTTATATATTTCAAGCACTCGGAAGCTATGCTGACTTTACCTATGATAATGGTATGACCCTATTGCATATACACACAAGTGTTGAGGGATAAACTATTAACATTATGGTAGTAAATTGACTGCAAGCATGGCAGGGGCCAAACCTGGCGTTCATGTTGTACAGCTGAAACCGATTCAGGTTCCAGAATCATTAGTGAAAGGGAATAAATTCATAAAATGGGACGAGGTAAGAAGTAAAGTTAGTCGGAAGCCATATTCTTGTGCATGCCCCCAGCTTGTTGAACAACTGATGCGTAATCACCCATCGTTTTGTCTGACACATGTGTCACCTAGGGTGAACAGAAACCGGTCTTTAAGGGCATTGTTTATGGATTATGTCAACAATGACCTTGCAATCTACATTTTGTCAAAATTTGTTTAAGAATATGAATTATCTCTAAACCAGCTCAGTCTGAAAACCAGAAAGTACTCCCCACTCCTCACCAGAATAGAATCACACCTGAAACTCTAGCTCAGACAGCTTTGTGGTCTATGACGGTGCAACTTAATGCTCTCCATTTGTACATAAATCCAGACACAATTTATGGTACCCTAGAGGGAAGCAGTTACCGTTTCAAAAGCCACACCCTCATCACACGGCTGTATTTAGGTTATAATTCGAGAGATGAAATTGGTTATTTCTTGGAATTGGTTTATATATATTTGTTTTTTTAAGTGGGTTTCCTTTTGACATTAAGACACGGCTTATGAACCCCCCAAAAAAGCTCTCTGCATGCAATCCAGATTTCCACTCGGCACTGCTAGTGTCCTTTGATTGTTTACATAAATTTACACACTGCACACATTGTAGACATTAGTACACTGTTAAAGAAACAGGTGAGGGTGCATTTATATCATGGGAAAACCAGTATACCATCCCTTCTCCATCATACACAGGAGATATTATCGATAATATTTGTAAATTGAAATGAATTATAAAATTCTATATCATTTGGGAAATAAAGGGGCTCACTGAATTGAAATAGAATACATTTTTTTAAGGAGATCGAGTAATTGGAATATTAAGTAAAATGTCACATTTGCATAATGTTGGTATTACTGCTAAATTGTCATTCTTTATTCAAAATGCAGCATCTTGAGAACACTTGACCTAACTGCGAAGTATCTCGGTGTTTCCATGAAAGGATACTAAAAGGCATGTCTATGACATCCCCGAGTGTATTATTATGTATGTTTTAAGAGTTCTTTTCCTCTACTATGGCATGTGAAGTTATGGGTGGAATACATATTTTGACCTGAATATCCCTATAATAGTTTCTCAGTACACAGCAAGTAGAACAGACAAGGAGGAATATAAGAGGAAGTTTACAATATTTAAATCATATATGGTTTACACGTGCTGACTAGTGTATTAAGTGAAGAGCACTTACAACGTATTATCAGTTAGACCTGAGAGAGAGACATCCACTTACAAAGATTGACTTCTGATTTGAATTAAGTAGGGAGGAAATTCAGAAATTAGAGCCTTTCTTATTACATGTTGTAGAAAAATTTGCCATCATAACCAGATAACAATCGTAAAAGAGCATGTCTTAAAACTAGGATGAAATGCAGTTGTATTTGATATATATATATGCATACTGAGTGTCGTCTACTTGTATTCTAGCTTAGGTGGACTTAATTTACTATTTGTGCCGGCTGCAGAACTGTAGCTCTCCGGAAACTAAAATTTGGACAGACATACCAGAAAGCATTGAAGAAACCTTAGACTTACTTGGACGCTCTTGTCGCAAGCTTCGGTTATTATTTCTATAGCATTCCCTAAACCAATGCATTTGTTAATAAACTTGTAATATTTACCTCTAGTCTTTATATTGCTTCATTTACGTTTCAAGCCTTGGAGATGGAGTCACAGTTTCTACTAGTGGGTTAGGGTAAAGGGGAACAAGTCTAACTGGCACTTCATATGTTGACTTTAACAACAATAATGAAGTAACAAGAGTAGGGATTAAATATATACATTTAATTAACTGATACCATGCTTTAGGTAGTGGAATGCATTAAATGTGTTATGAAGTGATACCCATGCAAAGCTTGCAAAAAAGTGTCACTGTAAATAGAAGCTAGGTTTTTCCAGTGGATAGATCTTTAGCTCTCTGGTATTCTGTTCAAATTTTATTTCCCAGAAAGTTACAGTTCTGCAGGATTATTTGCACTTAGAATTGTTTTTACAATTAGTGACTGCTCTTCATTGAACTCTTCAATGGAGAATATTGTTTTAACTTAGCATCTTCGAGTTCTCACTTGGATTCATATGCAGACAAGAACTTTTTTTGATACACACTTTTCAGTTGATATTTGACATGAAGATATATATATATCACAGTAATCTCACATATCATCTTAAAATGAACTTTATTGAGAAATCATTGACAGGATAAATTCGTTATGTAGACACTTGGAGGCTTACACCTTGCCCAATATGCATTTTTTCAAGGACCCCATAATAATGCCATATATATTTCCTTATTACCCCTCTAAGTGTCTACATAACTAACATTGTTGGGTGGGTGGGGGTAGGGGTTGATAATTAGCTTAATGGAATCAGAACTTATCTTAGAGTCTTTTTGTGTATATCTAAGATGTGTGTATGTGGTCTCCTATGGTAATTTGATTGTGTTAGTTTGTCATTAACACTTCAAGTAAAAATTGTCACTGTTATTCATTATAACAGTTATATTCCTATGAATGCATCATGCGATTTCTGTATGTTCTTTGAATCTGTAAGCACTGTAAGAAATTGAAGTATGGGTAGATGAAAGGAAGAGATATTTTTTAGAATATACAGTAAAACAACCTTATAGCAAACACGCTTATAAGGAATTGATGCTTACAGCACAGTGATTTACATTCCCCTCTGCTTTAGAATATATTTGTGAAGGTAATGGATATAATGAATTACGTTTATAATGAAGCAAAATCGTCTGTCCCTGGCACTTCATTGTAAGTTGTTGAACAGTTGAACTTCAATATCTCGAACACTGACATCTCGAATACCATGGATATTTCGAAGTTAATTTGAAGTCCCAATGACTTATCCTTTAAGTATGTAACCCTTGATATCTTGAATACTCGGATATCTTGGTTCCCATTTAGTTTGAGATAACGAGGTTTGATAGTACCGGTATGTCTTTTTTTAGTTAGTAGTTGACTTATAAAGTTACTTTTGGACTGTATGGCTAAGTGGTTAAATTTATATTGAATATCAGGGATTAAATTGTATCAGCTGCCTTTACTGCCCTTGCTAGAAGTTCCTTTGGTTGGTGGTTCATCTTTAGGCTAGCTTGTTGATGGGCTGTGCCACTATACACATTTTGTCATAGCTTGTATTACGACTAGACTACTAGTATGTGGAATGTGTTTATGATACCCTGATGTTTAAATGAACTTTGCTGTCTCTCTTGCAGACTATTATATGTCAGATGAACTAGTACTTTAATTATGTCATTCTGTATCTATCAGTGTTTCAGTAGGCACCATGAACACATACTGTGTTTATGCATTTGAACATGTCTCATAGGGCATAGTGAACAGGTTTAGATATCTGATGTAGATTTCAATGCCAGCAGTTAAACCTGACTAGAAGACTTCTTTATTTGGGACTTATTTGAGTTTCTCGGAGCTACAATCAAAAATTCACATTTGGTGTTAAAATTAATTAAAAACGTATTAAGTTAATACCCATATGCTAATCTGAAATGTTTAGAAACTTGATTCTTCATGCTTCTTTCAATTCTCACTGAAATTTATTTACAGATTCAAAAACATGCATGAACAGTTTATGATCTTAATGATAGAACCATTTGTAAAACTGTCTCTGTTGGATATAATTTACAGGTATGTTTAGGGTCTACCCAGGTGAATGTAGATTACCTTTAAGGAGTTAATGATTCAAAAACAAGAATATTCTACAGGGAGAATTTCTTATTCTACATAAATTTCAGATAGAAGGGAAAGTGAATTTCTAATGACTAGTATACAAGTCACAGTATTTAGTTATTTTACTATTGGTATACTGTTGTGTTCTTTTATAGACAGTTTTTATTATGTGAGGTATTAAAGTTAATGCATAAATCAGTCTAATATTCCTTACACAAAGTTTTCTTTAGGTGTAAAAAAGAATTTAATTTCCTTCTTTCAGCTCACATGTTTTGAAACTGACCTGTGTTTGTCTTTTATTTGTAAACTTTTTATCCGATTCATCTTTAACTAATTCATCTCCAGAAACACTCAAATAATTTCAGTTTAACTTGATAAATCATCCTTTACTGTATAGGACTTGCTGATAATTTTGCATTATCAAAGCAAAAAAAAACATATATTTAAAAAATAAAAATGGGATTTGAAAAGTTTTCCTCTATCAGAAAAAAAACCCAAAAGTTTTGTAGAAGTTTCAAAAATAGTGTAGATTCAATTTTTCCAATAATTGCTCCAGGGAGAGAAGTGATTCAGGTTAGTGTTGTAGCAAGTGAGCCACTTGTTTTCCGTGGAGTTCAGTGAACATTTTCCCTACAGGTGTCTCTCAATATATGGCTTTATTGCTTTGAATTGGTTCATATGTTTTGCAATAAGTGAAGGTTTGATTGCATTTCCCCCTCCTCAGTGTATTTACTGTCTCTATTTCATTCACTTTGATCACAGGAATATCATATTTCAGTTGTCAAACAACTTGGTCAAGTACATGCTTGTCTTCTTTTTTTTTTGGAATGTGGCTTTAAGATGAAAGATTATTAAATAAAATGCATTTAAACCATGAGACCCTAAGAATTTAAAGTATCAATTTGAAAAAAAAAGTTTAAAGACCTTTTGCTTATTCAGTTGTATAATGTATGTTTGGAGACTTAAATTTAAAGAAAAATATGAAAATACACAGTGTGTTACTCTGGGCTCATTATCATGATTATTCCATAAGTGGATGTAAGCTATGTTTGTCCACTTAGATGCATATGTTTCAGAAGCTGAAGAAAGTTAAGGATGTCTGACCCTTGTCTACAGTTATAAATTTAGACAGAGCAAGATAAATCCTCTGTGGTTCACAGCTCCTTGGGCTTTTATTACATTAAAAAGAACCTTAAGCATTTCAATGACTGTATAGTGATATCTGATTGTCAATGTTACTTGGGGGATGATATGTAAAAGTATGCTTGGACTGCCTAATACCAGAAC